TCCACGCTAACCCGAGATGGACCGCATAGCATACTGCGGGTCTGGCTGACCCGACTGCAATGCGAACGGGTCGCCTGGCGTAGTTGATCAACCACTTGGGCCGGGTGGGCCGGGTAAACGCGATTTCACCACTCGGGTCTATATTTTCTTTTTTGCCCGCCCATCCGGCGCCTCTACTCTGCTGGCTGTGGGGCTTGTGTTGATTGCGTGTGTGCGTACCCCTTTCCTTCGCCTGGTGGAAGGCGGGCGCTGGGTCGAAAATGGTGCCTTCCCATTCTGATGGCCTCTTCTTCTCGTGCACTCTGTGGACGCTGTCGTAGTGTACCCTGTTTGTGCCCGGCCCTGCTGCGGCTGCTTTGCTCAGGCGGTAGATGATGCGTAGGGTGCCCGTCGTGGCGCAGTTTGGAGTAAAGGTCTGCACCACCGGGGGCTTCTCCTCCCCCTCCTTGGTCTCCTGATTAACCATGATCCGCACCTGATAGGCTTCAGCCAGAGCAACAATCGCCTCCTCGCCCGCCCACGTGAAGTCCTCACGTAATTTGGAGGCGAAACGGTGGGCAGCACCCAGCCAATTAGTGACAATATTAGTCCCGTCTGCCTCTGTGGTACAAAACCTGTCGTACCCTTTGTCGTCCATTGCGGCCGAGGTGATTGCATGCCGAAACTGCTGCCAGTACACACTGATGTGATTCGCCGCCGCATGCCTGAGGGCCCGCGCGTGTTCCCAGTGGGTCAAAGAGCCGGTGTCTCCCGTGTTGTGCGGGTCCAGGTTGTGTTTGTGTAGTTGGTGTGATATGGCGTGGAAAAGGCAGTCGCCATTCGCCTGCATGCAGATGACATGCGCCTTCCCCTCGTTGGTCAGGACTTTCTCCTCGGCCCCCTCATCAGGCCACCCGGGCACCGTCGGATCTAACATCCTTGCTCACCGCACGCTAAGGCGCCGGGGCGGTAGGCCACCAACCTTACTGGGGCCTCCTGCGGGGCTCGGGGTCGCCCGCCTGGGAGGTAGGCAGAGCCTCCCTTGGTGCTCTCGGCGCGTCTGCCAGTCGGGCTCAGGAGGAGTCCGGGCCGCCGGGGAGGTAGGCCACCTATCACGCGTGCCGGGGAGTGCGGTGCCGGGGTGGGGGTTGCGTGAGCGAGTGCGTGTGGGCGGAGCGTGTGAGTGTGTGACGCCGTGGTCACACTTGAACTGATGAGAGGGGGCGTGAATAGTTGTGTGTGTTTGTGTGTGTGTGTGTCCGTCTGTACGTGCTTGTATGCTGGTGAGCGTTGCCTGATCGCGTGCGTGTGTGTGCGTGCGGGTATGTGCGTGCGTGTGTGTGCTTGTATGTGTGTCTGTCAAGATGTGTGTGTGTGTGGGTGCTTGTACGTGCGGCTGTGAGCGTTGGTGTGAGTGCCTGCAGTTGCGCGGGTGTGTGTGTGTGTGTGTGTGTTTGCGATAGTGTGCGTGCCCGTTAGTGTGCAGGTGTGTGCGTGAGTGCGTTGCGTGTGTCTGTCTGTGTGTGTGTGTCAGTCTGCGGGCGTGTGTTTACGCGCGCGCGCACGTGTGTGTGTGTGTGTGTGTGGCTGTCGGGGGGTAGCTGGTTACTGAGGGGCTTAAGAAATTGGTTATTCACACGCTGGCCGGTAAGTATGGCGCAACGCGCGGTACACTTGGACACAACAGAACAGAACACAACAGATGGGCAATAGGGTTCACTCCAGGTAGCGTCCCGCACGTTACCGCGATGCGCACACAATCAAGGTACCCCACACAAACAGATCACTAACCAGTACAGAGTAACGCCGCTGTAAGAGACCCTTGTCAACAAGATACCACTGGTGGATCGGTGTGACGTGTACTCAACCTCTGCGACCAGCGACCTGTAGGCGACCGCGGGCGGGGGTGGAGCGTGGCTGCGCTGCGTCGGCGGTCGCCGGCCGAGGGGGTCGTTGTCGTCCGCTGGGCGTCGTTGTGCTGTCGGCCGGGCGTCTACGACTCGGTTCACCGCGAGTCACTCACGGGGGTCGGCTGGGTGGCCGCGGGTCCGTGCGGCGCCGGTGGAGGGGCGTCCTGCGTCCGCAGCAACGGCGGGCTCTCCTAATCCAGGACGGAGAGCCAGGGACCGCGTCGCTTCTCACTCGTACTCCCGTCTCTTGGCCCGTGCCTCGCGTCGTCGCGCCGGTCACGCGGGGTTCGCAGCAAGAAAGCGCGCGGGCGCGTTAGGTTGGCGTAGCGCGGCTACGGGGCTGGCGGAGCCTATCTGCCTATGTGACACGATGTGGGTCCTCCGAGCTTCCAGAGCGCACTGACTCTGGTCGCCGGTGTCGTCCGGGACGCAGGCCGGAACCTGCAGGACCCAGCATTCACTTCCTAGAGCTGCACACATGTGCGTGGTGCAGCCCTGGACCCCCCGGCGCTCGGTGACGCCACAGCGCTGTCGCGCAGCCCTGTCCTTCACGACTCTTTACGAGCTCTTTCCCTGATTCGACACGGTCCGGGCAACGCCCCCTCCGTCTTCGGCGAACACGCCCGATCCGGCCTAGTTGCTGTTGCCAGGCCAGCTGGTGCATCGCAGCGCCCCGACCCGGCGCTACGCGACCACCCCGTCGGTCCGGACTTGGGCTGCCGAGGTGTGATGATCGTCGCGCGGCCCCGCGCGCGAGGCCACACCTGAAACTGAGCTGTAACATAGCTGGACAGGACAAGGGGAAAGGGTGCTGCGGGGGGGGGGGGGCTGAGCATTGCGCTGAGGCTTATGAGCAAAAGGGGTGCCCCGGCACCTTGCTTGGCGCCGTGGCGGCCGCGCCGAGGGAGCAGGCGATGGTCCGCCCGGAGGGAATGCCCACGCCGCAGGTGTCAGTGCGTCTGGCTTAGGGATTTAAATGACGGTAATATTACCGGTAAGATATGGCAATTTACCGTATTTTACGGTTATATTACCGTGGGGCCGGTAATATTGGTAATTTATGGTAATATTTTAAATATCATTTTTGGCTAATTCTGGTTCAAAAACTTGATGTTTTATGACCTTTCCGCTGGAATAAGGGTGCGCCTGTACCACTTAGCCCTAATTTGTCGCGACAGGCCAGGGAAATACCCCTACGGCTTGTGCTTGTAAGTCTGTGAGGGAAGTCCTGTCGTATCGCGCAAATGCAAGTCTAATGTGTTGTGTTTGTTTTAGTTCATTGGGCTATGCGCGACTACGCAACACGTTCATTTGCCTGTCAGAAAACACAGAGTACGTCAGGTTAAGACACACGTAATTTTAATCAGGCTTTGAAAAAGCTACGTAGTGGGCTTATGCAAAAGACCTGGCGTCTTTCTGTTGTTCTGTCGTATTGCATTAGAAGGGGTCGCCAACTCGAATTTTTAGGGAACAAAGTGTTCAGTTTTAAATACATAGACTATACTCCGGCTGTACTTCTGAGTATACAACAAAATTATACCCGAGATCGCTCGCAGGCCACGTAGTACGCGGAGAACATAGAACATATGCGGAGTACGCTAGGGGGTTATTGGATTTGAGACCTTTCATTCACTCGTTATTTCCTCCTTACTACTCCAATATATCTATTTTAAACGAGTAAATATCGACTTTGGTGCTACAACTACTGACTTGACTGTTAAAATGATGAAAATAGTCGGAGAACTTAATACAATACCTCAGAGACTACAAGCACAGTTATAAAAGCTGTGTTTTGAATATTACCAAATATTACCTAAAATTACCGTAATTTACGGTAAGTTACGGTAAATTACCGAGAATTTTTTTATTACCGGTAATTTTAAATCCCTAGTCTGGCTGTGA